CCATGATAGGTGAAGAAAAAGGGTATACCAAATATTCTGTAGAATTAAATGCCCCCAAGGACACATTAGCTCTGTTAAATTGATGATTCTTCTGCCTTACGTGTAACTAGCAAAATGTTCTCATAAATGTGATAAAATTCCAATAATAAATTTTATTGAATATAACCCAGTGAACAGATAATTTTACATATTTATACTCTGGACTCATATTCCCCTGCTGTGAGTATCCACTGATAATAGAGCGATAATCCCATGAGCAACTAACCCCATTACCCCAAAGCCATGAATTATGGTGGAAATGTGAACTCGTCTACTGGAAGAATGAACTTGCTGGTTTTTAAACGAAGACATCAATATTCTGTATTTCCAAACTCAGTTTTCCCGCTCTCTTAATTTTTCTGGTACAATGCAAATAGATTTTACCATACTCTTGTGGTTTCCTTTATTAGAAAAACATACTGATCTGTACTATCGAGCTAAATGGCAATACTACAGGTCATAAAAAAGATTCAGTATTTTGAACCTTTGCACTATTCACACTCCCAGAGTCATTCTGGGCGAGAATCAATTTCAATTATACTTTCACTGCTTACATTGCGGAGGTGAGCTGGGCCACTGCAGGCACAGAGTGGGAGCAGAGAGAGCTCAGGGCGCCGGCAGTGCCGCTCCACGATCCCCCCCCACCCCCAACCCCGCTCAGCTCCGCCCTGGAGCTTCCTCCATGCAGATCTGTTTCTCCATCCACAGGTTCACAGCCGTACTTTATGGGACCAGAATTCAGTGTTCCAAATCCAGGCAGCCTTTCTAATAAACAGGGTCCGCTTAGGAATCCGGGCACGTGGGCAGTAACCGAAAGCTAGGCTTCTACCTCAGATTAGCAGCAGGGTGTTGGGTGTGGCAAAGTTTAATTAAATAACAAAAGGTAGAATCTTGATCTCAGAAGGGGTAAAATCAGTTGAAGCCCAGCTTATTTGCTCTGCTTTTGACCTGGACTCATCCCGTCTTATTTTGTGCTGGGGAAGGACCACTGACCCGGGCGTGCTAACGGCTCGCTTAGCCTTTCCTCTCCCCGTGTCTAGTGTACGTAAGACCAGGGACCCAGCGAACACAGGGCTCCCCAGACTATGTCTCTCCTTCCTCACTTTGCTAGGGATAGAGGCCTGTTCCTCTTCTAAGATAAGTTTCCCTTTCCAATATCTTTAAATCATGATATACTCGCAACAAAATTCAGACCCCTTTCCCTGGCCCATGGCCTGCACTGCCCTTCCCAAGCCCAACTCAGCTTCCTCCTTCACCCACAGGGCTTCTCTTGGTTTCCCCACTATATCTGGCTATTTCCCCCTCGGTGCCTTTGCACAAGCTCTTTGTTCTCCCCAAAACATCTTTTCCCCATACCCTGCAAGACTCCCTCCTTCCTTCTTAGAACATCAAGTCCTGACCACCTTTCTTAGCCAACACAGGCCTCTCAAGCACCCTGTTCTCCATCGCAGCTGCTTGCCTGCCTCCTTTGTACCACCTAACTCCATTCTAATATTTGGGGCATCTGTTTGCAAACCAAAGCCCTCTGCAGGATCCATGCTTTTAGGAAGACATCATGAGACTTTAAATCACACTATTTATTTTCCTGTCTTTTCTGCCTACAGAGCTGTGATGAGCATGGGCAGCAGGGGGTCTGAGACAATGCTGAAAAAGTAGCTAGCCGGTGCTCTCAGGAGGGCAGAGCTGGTGCGTTGACCACTAACAGAGCTGGGGTCATGCATCTTCTAGAGACGGGGAGGAGCCTGAGGAGCCTGTGGTCTGCACCCCGCGAGGACAGGGGCAGGGTTCTCCCACAACACAATGCCAGTTCTGCTCCAGTTCAGGGACAGACCCGAAGCTGCAAATTCCATGCCACAGACAGAGCTGTGGTCATTTTATTCTGAATACCTTAGTGTTACCAAGCACCTGCCATGGACATAAAAAACATTTCATCAGATACTCATAAGCTTCCTGTTATTTGAGCAATATAATTTCCTGGCAGGAACTCAGAGATAAACTCTGTTTGTAGGTAACCAGAAGTTTACTTGCTGTGGTGAGCTGTTAGGTAAAGGCAGGTAAATGTCAGGGGTCAGCTTTCAGAAAAAAGCATTCTCATTTGGTGTCATTGGTCTGATTCCACTTTTCTAGACAGTTATTAGATAGCAGCAAAATGTCACAAGAAGGCGATTATAATCCCCCCCAACACAGCCCAAGTGTCCTCTATTCCCTTGCCTGCTTATCACTTCCAGAAAGTATATTTCATAGTTATTTGATAACTCGATTACTCTCTGCCTCCCCAAACAGAGTACAAACTTCTTGGGGCCAGAGATCTGACTGTCTTTATCATTGTGGTTCCCAGCACCTTGAGCAGTGCCCGGCTCCTAGAGGTACTCCATTCCATCTGCTGAATGAATAAATGATGCATGAACACATTAACATGGAAGAATGCTATTTTGATGGAATGAGTGGGTATCAAGAGTTTTCTTCCTGCTAACCCAATATAAGATTAGTAATTCGGACACAGTTGTTAGATAATGATGACCAGGATCTGGCTTAGTTTCCCGCTCTGGGAATTATCTGATCTGCTAGGAGGTCCTTCCTACCAAGCCCTGCATGTTTTCTACAGGCGTGGAGTCGCATTGAATCTCTACGATCATTTGCAGCGTTGTGGCTCTGTGGTGCAGAGAACTGGTGCCTGCTCCCCGAGCATGCCGCAGCCCCTCCACTGGATTCCAAGCCAGGATCCCTGCACACCCACCAAAGGTCAGACAGGTGGCCCAGGGCCAGTTCTGTGTATCAACCATGTGTTCTAAATTGTACTCTGTTGTCCACAGCCCCGAGAGATCCCGTTCACCCAGCCGTGGTCTGCAATCTTGATTCTGGTTCTTACTAAAAGATGCTCCTGACAACCATTTGTCAGTTCTGCCTCAGTCTTTTAGGAAATGTGCAAAACCAAACATCATATATCTTCAAAGCTCTGGAGCCTTAAACAATGAAGATAAGTAGTTCTCTCTCCTTTCATTCTTTCTCTTAACTGAATTAATTTGTATACTCATTTTCATTTGATATGACGACTGTGAAAATTTCAAGTCTAACTATCTACAGCCTTCCTTAACGGCATAATGTTTTGGATTTTTCAGAGTGGAAAAAAAATTGGGCATAAGAAATATTTATTGCTATAAAAAAATTGGCTTGTCCTACTACAGCATCCGTGTTCTGTGCCCATTCTGATTTTTTCTCCTTTTTTTCCCTATCTTTTGGCAATATCAGTGTCATCTCTTTGGTAAATTTAAAGCCACCATTTAATTTCCAATAGAAAAAAAAGTTACACCTAAGGTAATCTCCATCCTCAAATATACTTATCAGAATGAACCTGCCGACAAGTCAAAATTATACTCAATAGAAAAGATTAGCACAGAATACTTCCTTATCATTCATTTTCCTAGGTTCCTAATTTAACAATTCTAGTAATTTTAATTTATCACGAAAACCCTCAGTTTGGACTCAGCCTGGGGTTTAGTATAAACCAAACCTGAACGTTCAAGTTAAAATTCCTTTGAGAGCCTGTGTTCTCTGGATTGATTGTCCGTGTTGGTCAAGTAAGTTGGGTAAATATGGCCATGCTCAAGCCCTCTGGAGAAAGCGTGAGTCTTTAATCCAGGACCCTCTGCCCAGTCCCACATATTTTTGTCTCTGTTTCTCTCTTAAGCTCTTACTTTCTCATGTGTGAATTAAACTGTATGCGTCCAGGGCAGAGGGGACAAGAGGAAAAGGAGAACATAGAAATATAGCCTAGAGGAGCTGCTTGTTCTCTGTGTGTACGTGGGGTTGGGGGAGAGGAGGGTGGAAGAAATTCCATCCCTTTAAAGGTTGGGATTTTTTCCTAATCATTTAACTTTGGAAAGAGAATTCACCCGATACTAAAAGGCAAAGTCCTTTCAAAATGTTTGTGTTTCACATGTCTTCCTGATTATCTAGTTATATGAGCAGTAAATGGTTATCTGGAGTTACATGGAGTATGTGGTTGTGCTGAGGGGTATGGGTGATCAGAATTGGCCACCCCAAAATGTGTCTCTTTGGCTTGATTATTTTTAAGGACAAAAGACTCTGAAAGAAACTTTGACCTTCCCTCTAACTGCCTGAAAGAATTCAAGGTAGAAGGCCTGTCCCGGGACAGGCCATAACCATACATAACTGTGGGTATTGGTAAAATGGGAGGGTCCTTGCTGAGCCCATTTTTATCAAAGTTCTGTTTCTTGTGCCACATCGGCCATAGATGACCCAGCAAACACTTGTTTATCAAGCATTTGTTTTTCCTTCTCCATCTAAATTGCCTTCCCCTCCTTTGAAATTGCAAACCACTACCCTCAAGATCCTCCTTTGTCTTTAACTGAAGATGGCATTTAAGGTGGTGGCTTCAGCCATTTTGGTGAGTTGCTTAGTTTTACTGGGTCTCTCCCAAGTATACATGTTGTTAAACTTTGATTTTCCTCCTCTTATTCTGTCTCATGTCAGTTTAATTCGTAGACCAGCCAGAAGGACCCAGAGGGTAGAGGAATTGTCTTTGTCCCCTACAGGGATACAGGGGAGAGGAGAGAAAGAACAATCCTGGTGACTCAAACCCTGCAGTAGATGTGGTGGGAAGGGGCAGCAGTGGGGTGGCAACGTGCAGGAACACTGCCAACATGTTTCAAAGTTGAATGGATGCAGCAGCAGCCATGCCTGTGGCCATCTCGATGGGGAGTCCTTGGGGTGAACAAATTCTGTAATGCTCATTTAGCTTTCTAGCATTCCAATGCCCAAAGCCTCTGGTTGTTCTGACAGAAGCAAGAATTCCTTCCAAAAAAACAAATCATTGATTTTACAAATTCCATCTGGTGTCTTTCGGGGCAGGAAGTCGAGAGCCAGTCCTGTGGGGGGGTGGTCAGGCTGCAGAGCGGGCGGCCCTGCAGAGCGGGCACCAGCCTCTCCAGTGCTGGGAGAGGCCTCTAGGTGGCGCAGGTGAGTCTGCAGTGAGGGAAAGCCCCTCGGCAAGGGCTGAGTTTCCAAAGTGCAGACAGGACGGGAACAGTCGAGGAGGAGTCCCGAGAAGCCCCGTGGAACAGAAGGAAAGAGGGGCTGACGGCAGAGAGGTGCCTCGCCCCCCGCAGCTCTGCCGGCCTCCAGCGACGTTGAGCACCTGCTTCTGAGAGCAGTGCCGGGCCGCCAGCTGAGAACCCTGGTGGCCCAAACCGGGACGGTGCCTGGCTTTCTTCAGGGACCATCTTCTGCTTGGATTAGAAACTGCCCCTCCAGGTAAGCCTTCGTCCTTCTCTGGAGGTTTTCTAAACTCTTTGGCTGAGGATGAGACTGAGGTGTCATAGACTGAGAAATAGCCTGAGTGCATTTTTGAGATGCGTGTCATTTTTGGGTTGCGTTTGAACAAGCTTTCCCGATTATTGTATGTTGGCGCTACTAGTTCTAAGACCTGAGATTGTTCCTTTGTTTTCAGGAAAACATCAGAAACCCCATTTTGCTACTGGTTGCACATTTGGTTAGTGAGCCAAACGCTGTGTGTGCTTAGCGGGCTTTAAGAATTTGGCAACAGAGACAGCCGGTGTCTCCAGAGAGCGTGAAAGTGTTTGTCAGGTTTGCCCCCGAGCCTGGCTCCCGGGAAGGCAGCAGCAGCTGGGACTCTAGCTGGCCTCCGTGCCTGCGTCCCGCCCCTGGTTCCCCCAGTGCCCTATCAGACCTTCCAGGTGCAGGTTTTTGTTTTTTTTTTTGAGGAAGATTAGCCCTGAGCTAACATCTGCCGCCAACCCTCCTCTTTTTTTCTGCTGGGGAAGACTGGTCCTGAGCTAACATCCATGCCTATCTTCCTCCACTTTATCTGTGGGATGCCTGCCACAGCATGGCTTGACAAGCGGCACCTAGGTCCACACCCGGGATCCGAACCGGCGAGCCCCAGGCTGCCAAAGCGGAATGTGGGAACTTAACCACTGTGCCGGCCCCCAGGTACAGTTTTGAGTCAAGTCTGAGACCCAATGTCTGGCCCTTGTGTTTTGGGGTGGGAGGATGGGGGAGTGAGGGGTGGGTATGTATTTCTGACGATTGAGGCTTTCATTTCCAGCCAAGGGGTTCCTCTCAATGCTCTAACAGATCTTGGAGTGGTCTGGCTCCTGCACGGGAGCAGGCCCTGAATCCCCAGCATCCTGCAGCAATTGCTCTTGCACCACAGAGGCTAGGGGTGCTAGGGTGGGGAGGAAGGGGGCAGCTGGGTGGGGAGGATGGCAGGTGAGGCTCCAAGAGGGACAGGTAAAGCCATAAAGGGTCGGGAGTGAAGTGATAGGTTAGCAGGGTGGAAGCGTTTGACAGTCAGGGGCGTTTGACAGAGTTAGTGGGACACAGGGCTATGAGATGATGGGAACGAGGAACGGAGAGAGGAAGAGGACAAATGAAGGCCAGGCCGCTGCCCCCTGCTCTCCAGCTGACCGCCGCTCCGTGGGTTTTTTGAGACACCCTACCCAAGAGTGAACTGCAGCTAATTCAAAATATTGAAGAGGTGAAAAGCCATAACGGACTGACGGATAAAAGGAATTAGTTCAAATAGCTAAGAGAATATCATTGCCTGCTTTGATGCTCTGAGATTTCTAAGTCATAGTCACTTAAAACCTTTAAAGTTACGTTTTGAGAGAGTCCCCCAAAAAGAGAGTTTTCATCACAGTTGGGAAGGAGCATGTGTCCTGATGACTGCCTGTGTGTGCCCTTCCTCACTGGAGGAGAGGATGGGGCCCCTTGGCGCTCAGCTCTCCCCATCCTTAAGTGAGCCAGCTAGGCTGCGTGTACTGTGGGAATAGTAATTTGTGACAGCACGTTTGGAGGGTAATCCTGGAAGCACACGTCTTTGGGAGGAAAAAGTAAATAAAATTTCCCTGAAATGTTTGATGTCCACTGTCTGGCAGCTACCCAGTCTGTAAAAGTGAACAGAATTGTAATTTTGTTTTGAAGCTCAGAAGGGTCAGGGGCTCGCCCTTCTCTCTTCAGCGTCATTGTGTCCTTGTAGCTAGCACAGCACCTGCCACAAGTAGCAGCTCAGTGTTTGCGGGGAAAGTGAAGACAGACCTGGCCTTAGCCCCATTTCACGGGGCGCAAACGGAGCTGACCCTTTTAAGCGGAGAGCATCTTCTCGTCAAAGTTCCTTAGGTCCCAAAGGACCACAGATAGAAGCCAGGTCACCTGAGTCTCCTTCCTGGGCCCAGGTGAGTGAGTTTTGTGGTTTCCAAAAAATGGAATTCATTCTCAAGGAAATGCCCAGGAACCCTGCTTCAAAGACTCAAGCAAATCTGAAATTCAAACACCGTAGCTGTAAACAGGATGGCATTTTGGAAGCCAGCCCGCTGATTAAACGGCTCAGCCCCTCAGGCCGGTTTCTCTCCCCAGCCTGCTCTGTGTCCTGCCTGCACACTTCTTAGCAGCTTTCCTCCCGGCCCTTGTTTCCTCAGTTATCCCAGATGACACCTGCCCGCTTGTTTCTTTGATGCTGTTTGAGGCTCTGCCTAGGTAATTCCACCTACCAAGAGCATCATTAATTAACTTACATTACGCTCACTTAGCACATTAGATCAATTAGGAAACAAAGGCTGGGTTCTGCTTCCGTGAGTGCCCGTCACAGCCATGCTGCTGTCCTCCTTGAACTCCGTGTGTGGGCAGGACTTTTATTCAGCCTCCGATTATCGTTTTCCTAAAAAATAAAGCAAGGAAAGGTAAAGTGATGTCCAGTCATTTAACCTCTGCCCTACTTTCTCCACCACTTTACAAAGCATTTTCGTGCATATCTTCCCTATTTTCCAAATAAAGAACTTGAGACTTAGAAAGGTTAAGTGACTCGTCCAAAGCTACATAGCTAATGATGATTACGATACTGGCAGTAGCTGACGTAGGTCGCCCACCTAGAATGCCAGGCATCGTGCCATGTCAGTTGTAACTAGGAGGGATGAACCTCTGTCCCCACCTCTGAGACTGGTACATGGGCCTCTGTGAGGACAAGCGGAGAAGGTGCAATGACAACCATCAGGTAAAAATAAGTGTACAGTGAGTAAACACTCCCCTTTGTATACCTTAGCCTCCCAGGGTAGGGTCAACCCCAACACCACACTATTTATTGGCCCCCTGTCCTAATTTTTCATCACTCTCTGTCCTGAGGGAGTCACAGAGCATTGCCAAGGGTGGTTACCTCTATACAATCGAAGCTAAGGAAGAAGCTTTGCCCTGGGTCTTGGCAGAGGGTGGGCCATTCATTACATGGCATAGAAGCGGATCCTACAATCTGAGGGGTCCTTAGTCCCAGCGTCTTCCCTAGCACATAGTGGGCACCTAGTGAAAATATGTCCAATGAATGAATGAATGAATGAATGGAATCCTTCATGTCAAAGAAAGGTCACAGGTTGTTCTAATCACACAGTTGGGGGCAAGGGGCTGCCGAAACATCAAAGAACCCTAAGTCAACAAGCAAACCAATTGCAGTGAGCAAAGCTACCCTCTCTAGGAGCAGAGACGCATGTTATTTCTTAAAGGCTGCATGGCAGACACACTGTGTGGCTACAAGGTGGAACAGACACAAGCTGGAGAATCTGGAGGTCCTGCTTCCTCTGCCCGGGCCCGCCTTCTTAGGCACCTGGAGGTCTGTACATGTAGTTACACATGCAACTAACCAGGAGGCCTTTGTTTTCCATTCCGACAAATCAGATCACTGGAAAATAAAGAGCAGTAATGAGACTTGCACAGGGGGACACACTTGCCTCGATGCCGCAGTTGTGCCCCCAGTGAGCTCAGGTCATCTCATGTCACTTCATAAGCCAGCAAATCAGACTGTGCCCACCCATGGCAGGAAATTCCCTTGGCTTGTGAGTCTTGATGGAATCAGCAAGCAGAGCAGTAACAGCCATAATCGTGTTATCACTTCTAACAGTGGCAAGGCCCAGGGTGCATGGAAGCCCAGCTTAGCTGTGGTATTTCTAGATCCCTTAGGATTGATGCTGTTAAATGATACCATTCAGTGGCTAGATACAAGCAACTAAAAGGTGAGCCCAAATACTGAAATAAGATATTAGTCTCCTGAAAATAATAGGGAGATAATTCTGCCAACACTTTAATCCTGATACAAAGTACTTTCTTAGGATATAAAGAAAGACATGCTAAACTAGACCACAAATGAAAAATGAGAGGTCATAGTTTTGACAACCATCATACCATTACCAAATCTTTTCTCTTAAAATTCCAATGTTGCCGTATTTCCAATTCTGTATTTCCTAACCTTCATGCACAGGAGAGAGAGGAAGGTAGGATTTCACATTGGTTTTAATATACATTCATTCATTGAACATCTTTCCTGAGCTTCTGCTCCATGGCAGGCACTGTCCTGGGCTGTGGTGATGCCAAGGTACCATGGACGATGGGAGAAAATGCCTCTGCTTCATGGAGCTAGCATTCTAGTGTAGGACAGAAGCCCTAATACACAGATATGAAGGTAACTTCAAATAAATCCACTGCCATGAAGAAACAAATATGCTGGGTAAGCAGAGAAAGTGCTTGGCGTGAGAATGAGGGGGCTTTATGAGTAGATGGTGTCTGAGCGAAAACCTGAATGAAGTGAGGGAGTGAGCCAAGCAGAGGCCCCAGGGTGGGGATGAACCTGAGCCGTCCCAGCCCCAGTGAGAAGGCGGTATGGCTGTGGCAGAGGGAGGATGAAAGAGGAGAACCAGGAGCTAGGGCCTGCCGGCTAGAGGCCGTCGTGAGGAGTCTGGGCTGTCACTGAGGGGGTGGGAAGGCCAATAAAAGTATAGCACATTAACTGAAGGCTGAAGTTCAGCCACAGTTGTTCACGCCTGTGTTGTTCTGGGACCATCAGTGCCCACGGCACACCAGCTGTTATATTTTGAAACCCACCTCCACCTGCTGTGAGTCAGAGCTCCAGGGAGCCTCTTCCTGAGAGGGCTGATGTGGCTAGTGTGCCGGGCAGGAGAGGCAGGTGCACGAGGAGTGGGCAGGACAGAGGGACAATCCCTTTCAACCTAACTTCTGTTCTCTCTGCAATTCATAAATGAGAAAGGGGTCCTTTCGGAGAACAGTCTTAAAGACCTGAAACACATGCTTAAATTTTTTTAAATCTCAACTAGAAACAAGATACTTAACATTGTTCTAGAGTGAAGAATGGCCCTCTGCTCCTTTGCAGCCTTCCCCAGTACTGCCGCAGTCAGCCCAGAGCACCTAGCCAGCTCCGCTCGCTCCCCAGTTCTCACTCTGAGAGGGAGAAGCAC